CATCCCTGACTCCAGTTCCAGGGGAATCCAATGCCCTCTTCTGACCTCTGCAGGCATTGCACGACACAGGTGCACTTACATACATGCAGGCAGTACACTCATAGACAAAATAAAAATAATAAACAAAAGGAAAAGACTCAAGAACTTTGATTTGAGAAAAGAGATGCATGTGTAAAACAAAGGACATAAAATAGTCATTATCTGTGGACACTGACACAGGCAGAAACTGGAGACCAGGTAAGGGGGTCTTATGGGGTACTATCAGTAGCTACTACACTCAGAAAGTCACTAACCAGATGAATCTGGCCTTACATCAGTACCAACCTTAGCTTCATTTCCTCTGGCTTCCACACATAGCAGCTTTGAAGGTGGTGATGGTGAATGTTGGGGAAGGCCTACTCTGGTCAGGCCCAGGTGTGTGCTGTCTCCTGTGGTGTGGCTGAAAGCCTGATGGAACCAGAGCTCCTGTGCAGAATGGTAGTGTCTCAGTGTGGTTGGATGCAGCCCACCCAACTACTCTTGACTCTTGTCTTTTTCTTCCCCAGCACAAGCGCTGTATCCCAGCCTCACTGGATGCTTACTACTCATCCCAGGACCCCAACTCCAGAAGCCGCTTCTACACAGTCATCAGCCACTACAGTGTGGCCAAGCAGAGCACCGCCCGAGCCATTGGGCCATGGCTGTCGGCAGCTGCCGTCATCCATGAGCCCAAGCCACCCAAGACCCAGGGCCATTAGAGGCCTGCCCAGCCAGGATGAGGGTGGTGGTGGAGAGGGGAACACCACCACCACTGGCTAAGCCAAGCTGGAGCTACAACATAACACTGTACTGCTGGGGTACGGGGTGGGGGTGGGGCAGGATGGGATCTGGGGAGAACTCTCCAAAAATATTGTGCACTGGAGTTGTCTGAATCAATCTTTCTTTTTGTCCCTTGGTATTGTTGATTCGTACCCAAGTCAGGCTCATGTACAAAGGCATGTTTCGTGTTGATTGTTCCCATGTAAGATATTTTCAAAGCCACTGCTCATTCTTTGTTAGGAAAAATTTAGAAACAGAAAAAGAGAACCAGAGAAAATGAATGCAAAGCATGAATCGGGCTCCATGTGGAAGACACTGCAGGGCAGTCAAGAGCACAGCCTCTCTGGGCTTCGTAGATAAGGCACTAGCTTCAGTGTGGGTGTCAGAATATGTGTGTGACATATGGTAGGTAGGCTGTCAGGTTTGCCTGCGGTCTGCAGGATAGGAGCATGGCAAGGTAGGAAAGGCTGAGTTGGAGAGAAAGGTGATGTTGGCATTTCTAAGTCAGGAGGGCACAGGGTACCACCCAATGGTGAGTTTGCAAAATTAGCACAAACCTGTGGAGGGAGGCATCGTGCTCAGACCTGGGCTCCGGTTGTTCACTGTGTGCCACGTTTTGCGTCAGCAAACACAATGTGGGTAGATTTTTGTCTCCTCTTGTTTTTCCAAGTGTGTATCTAGATGCTTCCCATGTTTTTGAGATGGCAGGGGTAAAGAGGGACAGAGAAAAGGAGAGGTGGTAAGAAGACACAGGTCAGGCAAATAACCCTGGGCCAAACTAGAAGCATGGGTACCTGGGTTTTAAATTTATGTGTGTGTGTGTGTGTGTTTTCCCCTAAAGTGCTAAGGACAGCAGCAGCAATTGGATTATAACCAAGAAATTCCAGTGACAGCCAGGAGGAGGCCTGAAAATTGGACCTGAAACAATGACAGGCTATCTCCGAAAGCTGAAAGAAGGTGACTTTCTTTTGCTCACTTTGTTGTGTTGACAGCAGACATGTGTCCATACTCCCCAACCAAGTTCTGGAACCTCTAACAAGGAGGTCGTGTCCAATATTAGCTAGGCCTCCTACTTCATGGCACCCAGCAGGGCCCTTGTGTTTCTCACTAGTGCTCCAGGAAGGCCCTTTTCTATGGAGATGCTGGCTCTAGGCCCAATGGGGCCAGAACTGGCCAGAAGAATTGCTTATTTAAGAAATGTTACTGTTTCCTGATGTGTCTCCAACAGGCCATTTAAAGGGTATTTTTTATTTATTTATTTATTTTTTTGTGGCTTGCTATGTTGCTGAAATCATTGTACTCAACAGCTGGGGAGTAAGAGTAGAGTAGCTCAAACCATCCTGCCAAATACTCTCATCTGATTCTTCCTCCCTCCTCCCCATCCTCCCATCATCACCTTGAGTCACCTGTAAATTCATTCGTCATCTGAAGCAGATTAACAAATCGTCCCTAGCAAAACCACAGAGCGCTTTATAATTTTGTGGTGTATTTTTGTCAGTAGGTAGCAGAGGCTGAAGTATTTTTTGGTGTAATTCTTGAAATTTTCTGACAGGAAAAAAAATAAACATAGATGTGTCTGAGAGTCTTGACCTGCCTTTATGACTTTACCTTCTGCTCAGTGAGTGTTATGGGGAAGACGCTGCAAGAGAGGGGAAAGGGGTGTTTGGACCAGGAGCAAAGTGTTTTATTCAGTGGAAGAAGGAACTGGGACATAAGGGAGATCTCCATCTTAAAGATGAGGGCCTGACATGAGGCTGAAGGCCTAATATAATCTTGAGTATCAGACACAATGCTGAGGTTCTGACGTGATGTTGAGGTTCTCATAGAAGAATGAAATGCTAACATGATAATGAGGTCATGACATGACACTGAAGAAATAGCATGATGCCTGCCAAGGAAATGAGTGATGTTGATTTTTTACATAATGCTCAGAGACTTGATCAGGGACAAGATGCTGAGGGTACAACATGATAAGAAGTTTACTAACAATACCAAGGAATTGGTAATGCTGAGGACGTAATAATGCTGTCATTCCGAAATGTTGCTAAGGGCCTGATATGATCCAGAAGGCCTGACGTAATATTGAGGGCATCACATGATGTTGAGAGTTTGACATGATGCTGAGGTTTAGATGTAACACTGAGGCATAGACATCATTCCTGACACATTTTTGAGTACCTAACATGATGCTGAGGTCATTATATCATGTTTAGGGCCTGACACGGTACTGAAACTTGACATGACACTGAGTTTATAATATGATGTAAAGGGTTTGATATGATGCTGAGGTCTTGATATGAAAATGAGGTACTGATATAATAGAGAGGGCATGGCATGATGCTGAGGTCCTGACATGGCACTGATGGTCTGACATGATGCTGAGACCATGCCACTGAAGTGAAGTCCTGACATGTTGCTAAGATCTTGACACACGATGCCGAGTGTCTGATATGACACTGACATCCAGACATGACAGAGAAGGCCTGACGTGATACTGAGGTTCTACAGGGATGCTGAGGTCCATATTACAACACAGGTGCTGACATGATGACAAGGTTGTGACATAATACTAAGGTCCATGATGATGCTGAAGATCTACTACAATGCTGAAGGGACCCTGACATGATGGTTGGGCCTGATATGCTGCATAGGTCCTGACAAGATACTAAGATCATGATATTTTGATGATCTGATATGAGGCTGAGGGCCTAATATAATCCTGAGTGCCAGACACATTGCTGAGGTTCTGACATGATGTTGAGGTCCTGATAGAAGAATGAAATATTAACATGATACTGAGAGAGGTCAGGACATGTTACTAAGGACCTGACATATGCTAATGTTCTGATATGTTGCTAAGGTCTTGATATCATAGCAAGGACATAACATGATGTTTAGGGTCTGACATGATGTTGAGGGCCTCACATGATGCAGGGATCCTGACAATATTGAAGTGCTGATATGATTCAGAATGCCTGGCATGTTGCTGAGGTTCCACATGGCACTGAGTTCCCATCATGATACTTAGGTCTGACTTGATACTGAAATACTGGCTTGACACCAAAGTCCTGACATGGTGTGGAGGGTGTGACATGATGCTAAGATTCTGACATGACACTGAGGTCTCACATGATGCTGAGGACATGACATGATACTGAGGTCCTGCCATGTTACTGAGTGCCTGATAAGATGTTAAAGGACTGACATTATACTAAGATCCTGACATAATACAGAAGGCTTGCCACAATGCTGAAGTTCTAACATGGTGCTGAGGTCTTACATGATGTTGAGGGCCTGACGTAAGGCTGAGTCTTTGATATCATACTGACTTCCAGACATGTTGAGCTCTTGACATGATACTGTATCAGTATATGGTACAGAGACAGGCATGATAAGATACTGAGGTCCTGATCTTTTACTGAGTTCCTTCCATTATACTGAGGGACTGACATGATGCTGAGGGACTGACATTATACTGAGGTCCTAGCATGATGCTAATAGACTGACATTTTACTGAAGGCCCAACATGATGCTGAGGGATTGACATTACACTGAGGACACAACATGATGTTCAGGGACTGATATTATACTGAGGTCCCAACATAATGTTCAGGGACTGACATTATACTGAAGTCCTAACATGATGCTGATGGACTGACATTATACTAAGGTTCCAACATGATGCTGAGGAACTGACAAGATGCTGAGGGACTGACATTATACTGAAGTCCTTACATGGTGCTGAGGGCCTCACACCATGCTGTTTTCTCAACACGATAACTGTGTCCTGAGATGATGTCCAGGGCCTGATGTAATGCAGAGGGCTTAAACAAAGACTCAGGTATCCCCTCGGCTACTTTTCCTACTTCCTCCGTTGTCTCAGACTTGGCTGTTCAGCTTCTTAGTGCCAGGCTGGGATGATCAGGAGGCAAACAGAGCTAAGTGACACACAGTATCTTCATTTATTGGATATTGGTATAACAGAATATATGTTGAGTCATGTGTATAAAAAAAATAGAGTTTAGTGTGGTTGCTGGAAGTCCAACATCAAGGTGATGGCATCTGTTGGAAAAGCAAAGAGTAAGTGAGAGAGCAAGACGTCCACCTGGAGAGGTATACCATCTTATATTTAACATTAACCTATTCATGAGGCTGGAGTCCTTACGGGCTGAACACCTCTCACTAGGCTTCACTTCCAACAATGCTGCATTGGGAATCAAGTTTCCGACATACACTTTTTGGGTGGCAGATTCAAACTACCGCTTTATAATCACTCATCTGAATTTTAGAGGCAAAATTGGATACAGAAACAGATCGCGGAAGCAGGGACTCATGATGTCTTTGACATGATGCACTTGGCTAGCCAGAAGCTCAAGGAGGAAGATACGGAGCCCCCAGTAAGACTGTTGCCTTAGTTAGCTTGTTTTAGACTTAGTGTGACCTTGGCAGGTGGTGGTTATTGACCTCATTAGACATATGAAGAGACTGAGGCTCAGAGGCATGAAGAAATAGCCCTTGGGCCCTAGTAGAGGAGCTGGAATTTATATCCAGGTATGTGTGACTCCTTAGCCGCCTAGCTCTTTCTGTTGTGTGTCCAACCCTGAGCAACACTGGCAACGTTACAGTTCATTTTTTCAGAAAGTCAAGCTGCAGGTTTCACAAAAGGAAACATGCTTATTCTTAGCCTGAACTCAGTCCCAATAGTTAATGCTAAGAATAGCAATTACCCTTCGCGGTGCCAGGTGTTAAGCGCTCACCCTTTCCAAGAGGGAGCTCCCTACTTCAACATCACTGCCTTTGGCGTAGTGATTACCACTCCCATTTTAAGAGGCACAGGTGGAGGCAGAGCACAGTGAAGCAGCTTGTTCGAGGTCCTGTGGTAAGTGGCAGAGCTGTGAGTCTAAGCCACACATTTTGTTGCTCGTATCTTAACCACTGTACCATCAGCAGCCACCAGCCATCTCTACTTTGTGCTCTGTAGTTTATGGCTTGTGCTGTGCGTCTTCTCTCTTAGATAGCAGGCCATTTGAGGAGGTCAGGATTGACTGAGGTAGAGTAGGAAGCAGAGGCTCCATGCTGATTACTGAACTGGGGTTATGTCCAACCATGATGGTTAGAGGGGAGAAGGAAGATGACAGCTTCAGCCCCTGGGTGCTGGGTAAATTGTCGAGCACAGGACATAGATAACCCTGCTCACACAGCATAGCTCTTGACAGCCAGCCTGTCTTTAGAGACAGTGAGCCAGAGAGGCCCAGACAGAGATGTGGGCTGACATCCCACCATAAAGGCCATGGATTTATATGGCCAACACATAAACACCAAATGCATTTTTCAAATACAGAATCAACTAAAGACTTTATTAGCACATGTCCAAACATTGTCATAAATGGATTTGCCACCTTATTATAAAAAAAAACCACAAAAATTATCTTTACTCCACAATGAATAGACTATGTGTAGTGTATATAAGGGTGGGTGGAAAGGATAGGGATGGGTGACAGCCATTTCAGTTCTTAGTAGTGACCCTAGGACCATATGCTATTCCTAGAGGAGTTATAATTTTCTCATCAGAATAAAAGATAACAATTCCTCTCATGAATAAGCAATGGATGCCAAGTCAGTTAGAAGAGTTTAACCAAAGGAGGTTTAGTCAGGGGAGGAGAGTTCCTGTTTCACAGAGCCCTGCGGGGTAATGGGTCAGGATCACCAGACAATAATCATAAAACCAGGACCTTGGTTGATGGAACAGACTCCCTTTGTGGCTTTTGCACACTTTTGATATATTTATTAACACTGGGAATTCTTCTGAGAGGGACCACAACCTTGCAGGAGCAGAGACAGACAGGGCTAAGTTCTAGGGGTAGGGTGGATGTCTCTGTGTGGGTGTCAGTCTCTGAATCCAGGCCATGAAAAACAGGTTCCCTTTTGAGGGGAAAATCAGGAGGGAAGACGCCATAGTGAGACATTCCTCCTAAGCAAGGGAGCAGAGTTCATGAAGGAACGGGAGAATGGGGAGTCCAGGGCTTCCCATCAGTGTTCCAGATATGTCCCTGCTCTAGAGCTGGGTGCAAAGCCTCAACCTGCAAGGAAGCTGCCAGCTCCTCTGGGGCTTATAGTCTGGGCTGAAGGCAAGAGGGAGCAAGACAAGTGAGCAGGTAATTGCTACCTGTCAGGGAGAAGTGATGATGGTCCTAGAGGGGATCCCAGCAGGTGATCAGGCCAGAGCTATTTAGGGAGACATGCATTTTTTGTGGAAATCAAAGGGCCACCTGTTGGAACTACCATGGATCAATTTGTCTCCCCTCCACCCCCACGGTATGCTCTGATCTGACTAGGGAATCAAGTAGAAGAAATAGATTTCTGATTATTTTTTCAAAAAGCACACAATACCATCTTTTAAAAAATAATAGCACTCCTGAACAGTTGAGAGAAATTGCTGGTTTCTGTGGCAACATCAATGCCATAGTCAGACTCAGTCTAGCACAGCAGGGTATTTACCTACCTCTTCTGCCCCTTGATCAGAAGGAAGATCTCTCTCTCTCTCGCTCTCTCTCTCGCTCTCGCTCTCGCTCTCGCTCTCTT